GCCAAATGGTGCCAAATGGCGCCACCGCCAAAAGTGAAGGTCATATTCGTTATCAGGGCATTGGATTACCCCTATAGACGAAGTTTCATCGAAAATTAAAATATTTAGTTTTTGGGGTTGTAATAGTGGAATAGTACCGAAATAAATACTCGTCAATAAGACGCATGCTTGCTCACTTCTGCGAAGAAGACCCGAGAATTCGGTTAACTCGACCTTTCGGAAGTCGTTTTCAGCATGATGATTTCCGGGAACCAAACTTCTTGTGCAGCTTTGGAAGCGACTTTGGGAACCACATTATGAACTATTGAGGCCTTTTTTCGACTAGACGCGCACTTTCTGGTATGTTTGATGTTGGGTGGTAGTGTTTCAGGTTCAACCTATATACATAACTTAGAAGCCAATTCTATCGTGAACTGTGCCTTCGATTCGGAGCTCATATCGCCATAATGAAACCGTTAACACCAACTGCGTCTAGTAACCTGGATGAGTTCCCGTATCTCAAACAGCAATCACATTCGGAGATATGACATGACAACTCGAACTCGTAGAGGAAGATTTGACGATAATTCTACTGGATATATTACCTTCCGAGCTCTCAAGCTGATCAAACACTGAGCCTTTCTCAAGACGTTTCAGCACTGTTGAGCACAATGAGCTGCTCTACAAGAAGCTAACGACTTCCAACACTAAAAGCGACATACAACTCAAAAAAAAATCCGTCGTGAAGAATAGACAGACAGCAGCATCCTTTTGCACCAGCGTACTAATTAAGTGGACGAAGCAAACGAGTCAAAAGGTTGACATCCACTTCGAGGTTGTCGACATCTCGATTTGTTCCCCATAGCCTTCCAGGACCATGCAAAAATTCTTCAAAATAGTTCATTGAATATCTGTTCTTATGGAATTCGGCCCCTCTAAATATGTGCACTGTCAATTGCTTTCTCTGAGGATGCAGTTTGTGAGCGGCTTTGTCGGACACCGACTATAAGCAGGCATCCCAAGCTGCAGAGAGAATCTACCCTTTCAAAGTAAGCGTATATTCACAATCGGTGAAACTAAACATTCCTTTCAGATATGTTTCTCATCTTGTACACTTGAAAAGCTGTTCCTGATCTTGAGGCTTGAGGAAAACTTAACAAGCATGTGGTGTGAAGGGCCGGTTCAGGCTCACAGAGAAGGGAGGTAACTCTGCCATTATAGGTAAGATCGACCCCAAGCTTTCGGTACTTTCATCGTTCTGTGTGGCTCAACACATAGCCTGCGATTTTATCGATGCCGGATCATTTCTGATCAGTGGTTGTGATAATCTTGATTAAAAGCTATATCACGAACACTAAGCCTCTCCTTCACAAAAAGCTTAGAAGCAGGAGACGTGAAATAAAGAGAGCCAGTCACCCATTTTTTTCTTATTTGAACAACTTCAACAAATAGGGGAGAAATATGAGGGAAACAAACGATTATATGAGGGCCACTGATTGAAAGCCGAAGGGCGTCTTTTCAGGGAATTGCTGTTTTGATTCAACATATCACTCTCGAAAAGCTTAACGTGGTGCCGCAAAGCGCCCATAAATAGTCTTTGGACCATCCCCTGTTCTTCCTACAGAACGAAAAAATGTTAAGCTGCTAATCCCATTAGCGGCGACGCACACAGTACTGAATACTCTGGTGATGGTGTTCAAAATATTCTGATCGGATTGAAAATGAGCTTCGGTAAGGTGAGAGAACACGCTAACCGCAGGAAGCTTGAATACTAATGCGTCAATTTTGATGTGTTGGTCTACGCGGTATCGTATATAAGGGTGATCAGAAAGTCCCCATCGTACAAGCCCAGGCGTCGGCTTACTCCCGCACACACCTTCATCTCTTCCGTTTTCATTTTTATCAAAAATTCGTGGAATTTTTGCAGGGAAATGATTTCAAAGCAAAGTCGCTTTGTTGCATTGGTCTCCTTGCTCATGCTGCTTCTCGAAGGCGGCTTCGCTCTCACTAATGCTGGAAGAGCTTCACTGGCACAGGTAGGACTTTGTGAACTCTGAACAGCATCAATCATGATATTTTCCAGACACTCCGAGGAGTCGATCCTGAGCAACGTCGCGAGAGGCTGAGAAACCTGCAACTCGTTGATGTGGTCAGTTCACCAGCAGGAGCGTCAACTATCACCGATGAAGATGTTCGAGTGCTTTTCATTTTCAAGTCCTTTTCTTTCATGTAACAATACAACCAATTTGTTTCAGAAAGCAGTCAAAACGAACAAGGCATCTATCCCTGGAGGTGGCTCGATCGTTGATAAAAATCGCCTAGCAGGGATCAACGACTACTTGTACGAAGGCGATATCAATCTTACCGAGTAAGTTCGAAGAAGCTCTCTTGCGATCTGTATTGAGGTAGATGAAACAGCCATACTAACCCTGCTCATCGTACAAAATCCGCCCTCTCACGACACCAGGCAAACTTTCTTTAGAGGCTATTAGCAATAATGCAGATAAAATCCCTGAAGCCACTTCTTCATTCAATTGCAGAGAACAACTCGCTGCTCTCGAATCGGAACTGAGCAACGGCACAACTCGTCAAAAGCGACAAGCTTCCAAAACATATGCTATATGGACTAACAAAAAAGTCTTCTACTACTTTGATGCAAGCTTGGGTGTGCAATAACATCATACTTTCGAATGATAACTTTGCCTGACCCGGCTGAATCCTTTTTTTCTTTTCAGGAGAGCCGATGAGGGCTCTTGTAAAAAAGACCCTTGCATATCTGACCGCTCGCACATGCGTCACCTTCGTAGAGAACGCAACAGCTACAAATCGCGTTCGGGTGTTCAGAGGGGACGGCTGTTACTCGTATGTCGGAATGATTGGAGGCGAACAAGATTTGTCGCTAGCCGATGGCTGCGGTACGGTAAGTCCCTTTGACGCAGTTTCTGCAAAGAGTACTTACTCCCAAAGCTGTGGAGGTTGAACATTCCATCTGGCTCTCACTTCAAGTTTTTGGAGTGGTCTACTTCACCCGTGTTCCCTTTCTCTCATGCCTACTGTTCCTTTAGGATATGAGGCTTTATTTTTTTTTCGAGGCTGTTTTAATTGTAGTCTCTGAAGGCTACACCCATTACATCATACGATGAATAGTAGCAGTTCCCCATATCAGTCCCAAATTTCCTATTTATTCTCTTTTTGTCTTATTCCTCATTTTTACAAAGCTTAGTCATCATGTATTGCAGATGGGAATCGTTGCCCACGAGTTCATGCATGCTCTCGGAATATTCCATATGCAAAGTCGTCACGACCGCGATTCTTTCATTACACTCGACTTGACCAATGTACCGGTAAGTCTCAAAGTCAAATTTTTATTTTTTGTGATTCAGATAAGCAAGTCGCTGCACTGCACTTCCCTCCACCACATTCTCGAATAGGCCCATTAGCTCGGCTCAGACCAGGAAGAAAGGGATTGTGTAACGGACTGTATTACAGTTTAATAAGCTGACCATACCAAGATACTAGAAAGGGATGGGTCACCGGGAGTCACTGGTGGTAATGTTTCCAAGAACTGAACAATACAGTTGTATTGATGATCAAAGTTCTATTTCAATGTGAACTTCCTTCTTCTAGAAATCTGCTTTGTTCTCACAATAAGCTTGAGTTAAAGGAAAATGTTCCTGAGGAAGTTGACGGCTACTTGCATAAGGGTCACGTGCGAAACTTTTGTGGAAGTACTCGCATTACTTATTTCGTCCTGCGACCCATTCTGCTCTAGTTTATTCCTTAGGAAACCCTCTGCTGCTATCAAACAATCGGAGGGAGCCATTAAAATCATCTATGAAAGCAATTTTTCCAGGAAGAAATGAAGCACAACTATAACAAGCTGACCACGACAGAGTCAGTCAACTATACTCCCTACGAATATGGCAGTGTTATGCACTATGATGCTCAATCGTGAGTGCTTTTTTACAGTACCCTTTAAGACGTATTTATTTGTACAATTTTCTTAATAAAATAGTGAAGCGCGACAAAGGATTGTTGCGATTAGCATTTTTCTGTCAGGTTCGCCACAAGTGGAACTTCTATGAAGCCCAAGAATGCCAAATACCTCCGTACAATGGGGTCGCATATAATTTCGTTCCACGACATAAGCATCATCAATACCCACTACAAGTGTAATGGTCAGTTATTGTTATTTGAGAGTTTTGATTGTTACAGTAGGTTCCAAAGATGCTCTTTGTTCTACATGAGAATCTCTCGTTCCTGATCAAGCAGGCCTTTTCATCGGGTTGTCTACGCTGCAAGGGGAAGACTCTCATATTTGGAACAGACTCGTTCACATGATTTTTGTTGTTGCAGCTATTTGTGCAAGCAAAGGAGCCGCATGTGTGAATGGAGGGAAACGGAATCCGAAAAACTGTAATGCCTGCATTTGTCCGGCTGGTTACGGTGGCGCGACGTGTAGCCTCCGCGTAAGCAGCTTTCATTACTGGAATATAGTTTTTCGTGTTTGTAAGAATACGCACGAGTGGGGCAGGTAAGGATGTCTATCAATGATAGTGCGATTTCAGCCGGCCGGATGTGGAGCAGTGCTGACAGCAACTGCAGCTTGGAAAGCAAAAAAGGTTGTTCTTGGAAATGCTACGAACCCTTATCTCAGGGATACTTACGCGATGTGTAATGACTGGATTAAAGTTGGTTGACTGATTGATTTTGTCTTAAAAGGCAATCGTCCAACGGCGAAACTGCTTGATTTAAGGCACCAGCGGGGAAGAAAGTACAAGTTCAAGTGACAGTATTGAAAGGAGTGGTTTGTATCAATGGATGCTATGCACAAGGAATTGAATTCAAAACCCTAGCCAGTAAACTCATTACGA